ACCAACAGCCCTGCCCAGCTGGCCCACTTCTGCGTTCACTCACCACCACTTGCATGCATCACCCCAGCCTCCATTTCTCTGGCGCCAAGGGGCCTTCAGGAAATGCTTCTGCACTAAGAATGGAGCTCTGGATTGATGCACATAGTGCCCTTCGGCCTCCATTTTGCCATCAGAGGTCTTCCAGAAAGGCCTCTGCAGCCAAGAACCGAGCTCCAGATTGATGGAAGGCCTCTGATGGCGAAATGGAGACCAGTAGGAACTGCATGCGTCAATCTGGAGCTCCATTCTCAGCTGCAGAGGCATTTCCTAAAGGCCTCTGATGGTGAATTGAAGCTGGGGGTAACGCACACATATGAGCAGCAATGAGCAGCTGCAGAAGAAGTGGGCCGGCGAGACGAGGCAAGTCGGGGCATGGGAGGCCTGTTTGCAACAAAAAGCGGGTGTGGGGCACGTGGGGTAGCTCCACCCCCACCCTAGCTTGATTTTTAGGCATGTGCCTCGCCCCAAAACTAGGGCGTATTTTTGGGGTAGGCCTTATATTAGCCCACCCCCAAAAATCAAGCTAGGTCTTATTTTCAGAGTAGGTCTTATTTTTGGGGAAACGTGGTACTTATGACGTGATTGCCATTTGTGACCTTCTGGCTTCCCATTGATTTTGCTTGTCAGAAGCCGGCACTGAAGGTCAGAAATGGTGATCATGTGTCCACGGGATCCCATAACATAATTCCAAGCTAGTTGCCAAGGAACAGATCACATGACTGCAGTCCTATGAACTATTTCCACAATACAAGGATTGATATTAAGCCTTCTTCAGCAATGTCATCACTTTGAATAGTTGCTGAACAAGAACTATTTGTATTATAATTTGGACTTGAGGAAACATCATAAGTCAATCAACCGATTAACTAGTTTGCTAAATCACCCATACAAACTTATGAAACTGGCTGTGGCCTATCACATTCACACTTCTTTTAAATTATTTACTTTATTCTAATTTAGACTTCAGGCAGAATTGATCTGCAATTAGCAAGGCATAAGATAAACTTAGGCCTGGATTCTGAGAACCCAGAACATTACAGATATCAATACTGGATTTCAGTTTCCTGATTCTGTAGCTTACCCTGAAGCAGACATCTTACTAAGCCATTAGTTTTGTAACCAATTTATTCAAAAAAATTATAATTGAGTATTTTGCATAGCTTTTTTTTTTAGATTTATATCCCTTCTTTCCTTCAGAAGCTTTAGACAATATACATTGCATGCCTGTTTCAGTTTTATTCCATAACAATTCCCTGAGATAGCTTGGGCTTAGAGTGATTTACCCATAACTGGTTTCATAACTGATGATCTGGAGACATGAGTCTCCCTACTCCAACACCTTGACCTGTATACTACACTGGTTTTTATAGCATATAACTAGCCAGGAAATACCATTTGTAGTGAGTCACAGCCTGTGATTATTTATATTAGCAAATTAGGCAACCTGTGACCCACTGGGTCATTGTTTCAAAGGTATTTCCTTAGCAGATTCCTCAGTTCCTTCAACAATGGCAGAACTTCTACCCTACTGTCATCATTGGAAAGAGTGGGAGGGAGATATTCAGAGGTGCATCTACTTTGAAAATAGCCCATCTTGAACTGTATAGCACATACACAAGTGTTTTATGACATTTTGTAATGCCATAAAATGTTTTATTATAATTTTTATATCATAAAATGATTTATAAAATTTGCCAAACTTCAATTCTAAGGGAGTCACGGATTCCAGATTTTGGATGCATTCTGTAAGTTTGCCCATTTTAGGTACTTTGGTTCCAAAATTGTCACCCTACGATGCACTCTTTCACCCATTAAGAAGTTAGACACGAGAGTTTTAGTAGTATATAAATAAATCACATTATAGCTAATGTCGTGAGAGCTCAGCTTGTTTTAGCTGCTATAAACCAAGGCTAATTATGGGCTATCAAGTTGTTTTTGACTCCTAGCAACCATATAGATAGATTTTCTCCATTAACAGCATATCCCTCTGTTCTTTCAAGTCTCCCAAGGATGCACTTTATTACAATACTGCAACCATGTTGCGCAATCTAGACACCACCTGTCTCCAATGACATTTGTCTGGCCAATTTGATCTTGCAAGATTGACCCTTTGATATCATTTATTGGGACTTCAGAAATATACCTTTTCTGTAGCAGCACCTGCCTTCTGGAACAAGTTTCTTCCTAGTTCTGAATTCAGCCCCCTCTGTTCTCCTTAAAAGAGCCACAAAGACTTGGACCTTTAGCAAGGGAGAAATCCTTCTCTTCGGTTCATCTGGTCTGTCATGTTTACCATCTTTTATTGATTTTATTGTAATTTGATTGTTGTAAGTTATGCAGTCATTGAGTTGGGGAGCATGCATGTTTATGATGGTGATGATGACATGCAGTGAATCAAATTTTTATTCAAGCAAAAATTGGTTTATTATTATATGTTTGTTTAGCTTTTAAGTTGTTTCCTTTCGTTCTGCTGCCTTTGCCCTTTCCCTTATTAGGTTTGTTGGGTGGCAATAAGAAAATAGTGAATAAGAATACCTTTCCAAGTTCATAGTGAAAGTTTAATAGTTATCATCAAGCTATCCTGCCTTAAACTATTAAGTGTGCATTAGAAACAGGATGGTGAACAAGCAGAAACAACATTTTTTATATTCAGAATAAACATTTAAATTGATTCCCTATGTATATGTGAAAGAAAATTCACAATCAAGACAGGCTTTAATTTGTACCCTACTTTTCAATGCTGAAACCCCCATGCTTCTTATGTAATTCTTGGTGTCAATTTTTTAGTTCAGGTTACCTGTACATTATTGTAAATCATTTGGTAGGCAGATTGGTTGAGGACAGAGTGTGATATTGTCTCCTTCTCCTCTTTAAGTGAGAAGTAATAGAATTATTGTGACCCACAAATACCAGGCTGTATTTTTTGCTTCATGAACCACTAATTGCTCAGTCAATAAAGTACTTCCAGGCTAAATCTGGAATAAGAAGAAAAAATAAGCATTTAAAAATTTTCTTTTAGGACATAGAAGACAACTGATAGGTGGTTTTATCCCTGTGAAAAATGATGAAAAGTGGATCCCAACGTAAGTCCCAGTTCCCTCAGTTAGATAGCCAAAACTATTAAAAATGACATTTTCCATGAAAGCAGCAGAATGTAGCAATCATTGACTCAAAAAGCTTTCATATTAGGAGTCAATAGGAAAAGATTCCAAGCATGGACCTGTGTGGGTACTAGTGGGTAAAAAAAAATCAAACTCTTCATTAAATTTCTTTTCAAAGCAGATTGGAAAAGGATACCATTCACTAGAACATAAAAGAAAGAAATGTGAGATAGAATTTTATGGAACAAAAAGGCAAATTTGCCTGGGAAGGTATAAAAGGGGAGTGTATATGTTATCTTTCATGTAGATATAACAAAGGACTATATGCAATCTGGACTGTTTTGTCTTAGAGTCCTGAAGTTCTTTTCAAACCACTAACAGTTTCAGTTTGAGACATCTTATAATGCTTCCCTTTTTAATTGCCCAGACATTCAATATCCCCAGCCTCCCTCTTTAATAAACATGTTGGGCTTAGTTCTTGTTTTATGTTTTTGTGCTATACTCAATCTAATTCTCTTTATTGCTTTGTACAGGTTAAACAATTGAGTTTTGTTGGTCCTGATCTATATATCAGGCTAGACATGATTCTATTTATACACTTTATGCGATTTTCAATAATGTACCATCTTTTGGTATAACAATTTTCTATTTCTTTTGGAGTTTTTAACTGATTTAGAAGTGGCTAACTACTAAGTTGTGATGTGTGTTTATTTCCTTTGGTGTTGAAAGTTGGAATTTTAATGCTTTAAATTAAAAAGGGGGTATTCTATCTTTTTGTTTAATTAAAATGTCTTCTGAGATTGGAAGGAAGGGCTGAATTCTTCAGTCACACATCTCTATGCCAGGAATTGACACTATATACATGTCAACCTTTGAATTTTCACATTTTAATTGCCAGAAAGACAACAACTTATGAAAGTCTTATTATTCACAGGTGGTGGCAGCAAAAATCACTAAACCACTATCCCAAAGCTGGAGATAGGAAGATCAGGAGATTTTTTGAAAGAGTATATGGGAAATATCCCACCTTCTAGTCAGTACATTTAACCATCTGCTATAGTCTCTAACAGGCTAACCTCCTCAGATGTGAAGATGTGCCCTCATATAAATACAGACCAATTTTGAAAGGGGCCCAAAGGAGTAGATGGTCTAAATTTATGAATCCAGCAATACAAATACTGGTAGAGGTAAATATGTAGAAGCTCAGGATAGTGAATTAACCATAACTATGATCAGAGGGTTAATAGGAGACCCTTATTCTTTTTCTTTTTGCTCTGATATAGACTAAGTGGGGCAATTCTTTTAAACTGTAGTTTACCAGTACTGATGGTAAAATGGCAGAGTAATGGAGATTCCTAGCACATGAGGATGCTGAATGTGCTTGAGGCTGAGAGAATCCTATGAATCTAAGAAACAAGTTAGAGATTCTGGATAGAAATGAGAAAGACTTGGCAGTGCCAATAAGAGGCTTGTCTGTATCCTTTGCTAAGGCAAAATAGGTAAAGAGTGTGGCCAAGACAGGGGAGATTTGCCATCACAAATTAGTATTTGCAAGAGCTTTCAAGGTGATTTGCATCCTAAATTCCCTTACATATAGCACAGGTGATACAAAGTAAATAAAATAAATTATGATAAAGTGGAATACTTTTGAAAAAAAAAAAGCCAACAATTGTATAGGAACAAAGAAGTTTCAAGAACAAGCATACAATTGCTGTTGTAATCAAAAGAAACTGCAAGGATTCCGGGAGTACCATGCAAAGTCATACATATAAGGGCTCTTGCCAAAAAATTCTATAAGCTATCACAGATTCTAGACCGGCATGCATAGAATAAAATATATGATACAACTGATGTAAAAAGTCATAATTTAAGAAAGTACATTTTATTATATATTTTTTCAAAAATTATTACAAAAAAACAAATGGTTACACTTTATTTAAATTATCAAGTGCAAAACAGAAGCACCCTACAAGGTTCCATCTAAAGTTCATGGAACTATTCTAGACCTGAAATAAGCAGTTGCAACTTTGCTTGGCCCAAAGAAATCACACTAACTTACACCAAGCTTAATTGCAGGGAGCTAAATGTAGACCTCCAAAAGATCAGAAATACACACAAGGTGCAAAATCCATCAAGACACAAAAATGTATCTACAAATATATTCTTTACATTAAATAGTTGCATTCAGAGGCTATCATTTTCAAATAGAACAAGGAAAGATAATTCCTAGGTCTCTTTATTATTTATCTTTCAAATAAATTCATATAAATATGAATTGAAAAACAACTGCTAGTTTTAAAAATTGTTTCCCTGTTATGTCTTTTGTTCTTTGCCTTTTGGAGAAAACATCACATTATAAGGCTGCCTTCTTTTGGGACGTGGACAGGGAGCAAACTCTTCTTTTATATAACCTAAAAAAACAAAGACAACAAATGTCTACACTATGGTTTTGGTAAAAAAACACAATTAAATTGTAGTGACCTGAATTTCTGCCAATTTCAATATATAATAATCATAAACAAATCTTCATTAAAAACCCAATTACATAGTATAGTTTTATACTGAAAAACAAACAAAAAAAGAAATTAGTAAAATGTCAAAGTAATTTCTTAGATAAACATTTTAAATTTATTTTAAAAGTTTGATCTAAAAGACTGGGATAAAGGTGTTTTGAGTTTCATTCAGAACTTTTATTGCAAAACACTATCTGTGTTCACAGCTATGAAGTGAGTAGGATGAGGTGCTATTTGTTAATTTATAAGCTTCTTAATTGTTATGAGACGACTGATATTTTGAGATGTTAAAGGTAACTTTCTGTGTGCAAATCGACATTTTATGCCACATTTTTGCAGACTTTCTAAGAAATTTAATAAAGTTTGCTTTCTACAGCATGGTGTTTTGAAAAATGAAATTTAAATGGGAAGATTGCCTATGCAATTTTTACTTTATACATGGATTTACTAGATTGCTATAGATAAATTATCAATATTTTGATTCAGCTGTGCCTCAGTAATAGGGAGATAATGCTGGTTTGACCAATAGGTTTAAGTTAAGGATTACCAAAAGAATATGAATATTCAAAAACTAAATTATAAAAAATGGTTATTATTATTACTGTAATGAAGATTAGTGATATCCTATTAACACACTATAAGATTATGATTAAAATTCACGGCATAATATGATTTGTTGTTGTAGCTTAAGGTTGCCCTTTCTATATATCTAAATAGCAATTATTAGGTATTATAATAGTTTCAAATAAGCTGTCATATAAAATATGAAACAAAAAATACAATGTTTCCCGTCCACCAAGTCCTATTCATAACCAACAATGGACAAAACCAAAATACACTAATCTGCTTAGACACCATGATTGTGCAGAGTGACTCAGTCAAGCTGCCTTTGGGCAAATGGGAAAATATTCTTTCTGTCCATCAGATCTATTCTCCCTGCCACTAACTGAAGTCTCTTCAGGCAGGAAATACTTCCTTCAGATTACCAACCTTAAAAGGTAGCCAGTGAGCTGGCCATCATTGTAAAATTGGAACAGAATTATCCTTGTTTACATTTGTGATGAAATAGCCAGGGACTTGCAGTGGTTCTTCCTTGACTATTTCCTGCCTGAAAAAAGGGTGTAGTCTCCAGAAGGAGAGGATGATGACAGTTTTCTTCTGTATGACCTCGGTGTAAGCAAACCTTTCTTTTTATTTACAGTATATTCCCCAGGAAGGAAAAGGGCACTACAAGAACCCGCACTCAATTGGTGAATCACCTCCCAGTAGTTGAGCATAGCCCCCTTTTGTGCCATCATTTTCAAGTGATGGATCTGGTTGTGAACTGTAAAAGGTGCACAGGCAGGTCTATCATGAGCTCTGTTGCTCTGGTAGTTTTTAATGCCCTCTTAGGTATTTGTCACAGCTTCTGGGACAACTTCTGTCTCTATTACCAAAACTCAGACAATGGTGGAAGGAACAGCCATGGCCCTGCTTCCCGAGGCTGTTGGTTTTTGGTTTCCTTTCGTGCTCGCTCCATCCATTCTTTGTGCAGGGCTGATGGGAGCTGCCTGAAGGTAGAGTAAGATACCATGCGTGAAGGTCCTGGGCTGGGGAAAGCTAATGTAATAATTAGAAATAGTGACTCCCACTCTTAAAATACTTGAATTTGCAACAAATCTGTTTCAATGGGTATTTACACATCTTTAAATCATCTGGATTTTATGATGGCCTATTTGTTCACAGATTCTTCCCAAAAAACCTGCGCAATCATTAAGACACGAGCTTAGATATGGAGATATGCATCTCCCTTGCTCCTCTCTTAGAATTCAAACATCCCTTTTTCTGATACCGCTATATCAGTAGCTCTTTGGTTCTCTTGCTGCATTAATGAAACTGAGGGAGATCTGTCTGCTTATGCTAGTCTAGAGTAAATGAATACTGCTGTGCTATCTTCCCAACCTTATGACTTATTAGTCTTCAGAGAATGACTGCCAAAGGCCTACCTGGTGTTTAGCCTGTATAAGAGTCAGCCCAATGGATGCCACACAGAAGTCTTTTCCTGAATGTCACAACTACTACTGCTGCTGCCCACTGTTTCATTCAGATGTGAGAGGAAGATGCCAAGAAGCCTCCTAATCTGCCATGTAGAGCTACTGGCTGCCAGTCACTGCAGTTGGTGCTACCTGGGGCCTCATTTGTCATGGAGCCAAGGATTCCGTGTGATGTCCTGATCTGCCACAGATCTCTTGACTTCTCTGTTTGCCAAAGTATTCTGAGAAAAGTCTTTGTATTCATGGATTATTCACCCCAATTTTACTGCTTTCTCCCAGTCTCTTTAATTTCCAGATGACTTTTGGTTTGTAGTGTCTGATTGTCACGTTATTTAGCAGGGATACTGTTTGGAGAATTGCATTTTACTGAATGCCACTTTGCCACCTGTACTTCCAGTCGTTTTTTGTCACCTTCTTAGTAAGTTCTTAAAATGGAGCTGATGGATATGCCACTGGTCCTTCCTAAAGGCCAGAACTAAAGATTAAAAGGGGGAGGTTGTCTTGGAATAGGAAGAAGTTCTGCTTTCTACCTAGGAGAAGTTAGGTTAACCCATTTCCGTGACTTCCATTTTCTGCTTCTTAAAGCAACCACCCTTTGTTGTTTCTACTCAGAAACTTTTGGAAACATAGCTTATTCTCCCATTTTGTATATAATTTTGCTTTATATAATTACCTCTTTCAACACACATTTGTGTGGAAGGAAATCCAACTTCCCAGAAATTTTCTGGTGTTTCAGGAGGAATATAACGAGATCGATGTCTAGAACAGGTAGCTAGTTTTTTCTCTCTCTCTTCTTCTGGTAAACCTGCATAATACTAAAATATAATAACTAGAAATAAGTAACAAATCAAGGAGAATATTTTAGTAGTAAAACATGGATACCCAACAATATTTAATACCTATCAACATATTTCTGAATCTCTTATGTGTGCTGTTTGCATATTGCGTTTTTAGGTACAAAATGAATCCCACATTTTTGGGTTAATGTATTTTCCAAATTAGCAATCCCCAAGCAATAGAAAGCTGCCTGTACAATACTTATATTCTTAATGGTATATTGTAACATATTTTTTTTCTTTCTAAACTCTTTCTAAAACTTTGAAAACAACATTCAAAAAAGAAGTGCTAATCCAGACAAAAGTCAATTAAACATAACTTCTCCTATCTTGTTTATTTTGATTTAGAAGTCTTTTGCCTCTCACATTATCACTTTGGTATCATGACATGCAGACATTACAACATACATCTATGAAAACATTAATTTTAGATTGTTTATACCGAACAAATTTTTTTATAAATGCTTTAGATGTTTTGTCCATATGTTTAACGTTTTTAGAGTAGTGAGAAAAGTTCTAACTATTTTTAATCTAACAGTTAGCACTAACAATCACTTGCCAAAATGTAACAAGAACCAAGTTCCTGGAGAGGAGAAACCTTGCCTGTGTAGGGACAGGAAATTAAAACTGTTCACACACAAACCTTGGCAAAAAACAAAACAAAACACAAAGCTGCTTTTATGTCCTGTTTCTTTCTTCATTCAAGACTCCAGATTCCGCATGTTTTAGAGAACAGAATTAAGCTTCATCATGGGCTAAAATGTTGTACATTAAACAGCAAACACTAGCAACAATCTTATTTACTAAAGTAAGTTTCTTATCTTAAAGATTCCATTTCAGAAAAATACTGGGATTTTTTAAGATGGTTGAAATAAACATTTAAAATTGAATCATTACTGAATTTTTGAAAGACACGGTATAGTATAATACTGATATATAACCTCAAAACAAGTTGTACAGAATATTAATAAATGAATTTCATGTACACTCTCATATGGAAGTAATTTACCTCTTATTAAAGGCAGCCATAGAAGCAAATATACCCAAATGAGAATAACAGTATATACATTTTTCATAATGTTCTCTCCAATAATAAAATGGTATAATTATTACATGACTAGTCGCTCTTAATAAGCCCAATTCTGAAACTCCTCAAGGGCCATAAGGAAGACTTTTGAAATTAACTACAGCAGTGGTGCCAGAAATAAGAAGAGCAAGTTGAGGAATCTCCTGTGATTGGGGACATTCACAAGAATTTTCCATGGTAAATTCAGTGATATGTTTCTAAAAATTGGCAAAAATTCCATTGGAACATTGGTGGTGGTTTGTTCACGCAGGCTGGTTGCTCCCTACCTTACACATAATTTGGGGGGGAGAGTTATCATATTGGTCCCTTAACCGTGCCCACGTTATACTAAGTTGTACGGTGGTTCATTTATTTTTGATTTGACATGCAGTCCCATTCTAGGAATGGATTATAGGTCAATGTGAATATATTTAATTTTGCAAGATCGAATCTGGGTTGGTCATCAGGACCAGAGATTTACTTTCCAAGCTTTTGAACCCATGCTGGACCCCTTCTTCAGGGAACTTCTCTCTACTGGAATATGTGCTTTGGGCTATTTTGTGAGTTGTGTTTATACTTAGTTTTTCACATTTCTCCATAGGACTTGGTGTTTTAATCCCTCATTATTTTTAGCTACCTTCCTCTAGTTACAAGTCAGTTTTATCTATATTATTTTCAAAATATATAACAAGAATTGACACAGTACTTCACATATATTCTAACTATATGCAGGTTAATTTACAGAGACAGGCTGATATTCAAAAGTATTGCTTAATAAGTTTCACTAAGCCGTGGTGGTTCAGTGTTTAGAATGCAGTATTGCAGGCTAATTCTGCTGACTGCCAACTGCCAGCAGTTCAATTCTCACCAGCTTAAAGTTGACTCAGCCTTCCATCCTTCCAAGGTTGGTAAAATGAGGACCCAGATTGTTGGGGGCAATATGCTGATTCTGTAAACCGCTTAGAGAGGGATGTAAAGCACTGTGAAGCGGTATATAAGTCTAAGTGCTATTGGTATTCACGTAGTAATTCCTTAATACTATAAGTTTATTTGCATTTGAAAATTGGGATATAAATACATAGTCAAAAAACAAGTATACAGGTAATCCTCAACTTACAACCATTCATTTAATGACTGTTCGAAGTTACAATGGCACTGAAAAAAGTAATTTATGACCGATTTTCACACTTATGGGCATTGCAGCATCCCCATGGTAATCTGATAAAAATTGGGATGCTGGGCAACTGACATGTATTAATGATGGTGGCAGTGTCCTGCGATCATGTGATCATCTTTTGCAACCTTCAGACAAGCCAAATCAAAGGGAAGCTAGATTCACTTAACAAGTGTGTTATTAACTGCAACGATTCACTTAACTCTGACAAGAAAATTTGTAAAATGTGGCAAAACTCACTTAACAATTGTCTTGCTCAGCAATGGAAATTTTGGGCTCCACTGTGGTCGTAAGTCAAGGACTACCTGTATAAGATCCACTGTATACTTACTATTTCACATTCTTTACAAGTGTGGCCAGGTAATTTTCTTCTTTCTTCTTTTTTCCGCACAACTTCAATGTGAGGAAAATCCAGTACAAGATCTGTCCTGCAATGTAAGAAGAGAAAGACAAGGATCTAAACTTTATGTTGCTAAAAAATTACATAAGCTATCCATGGGACAAAATTTGATTTTGTCCCTAACTATAAATATACACAATACAGACAACAATCATGACAACACTCTAGCAGTTACAGTATTTCTGAATATATTTCCAGTTTTGTATTTATGTGTTTGATTGCTATAATACAAATCATGAAAAGAAAAAGGACACAGTTAGAATAGCTAAAGTTCTACTGATATCAGAATGACTTCCCTATATTAGCCAAATGTTGGCAGATTACTGAACATATTTTTTGGGAAAGAGAAATTCCAAAATTAAAAATATCTCCTAGAGAGGTATTTTATTTGTGTGAAATTAAAAAAAATAATCCTTCAAAATATTTTATATTTTTTATTTGATTATTTTTAGGAATATTTTCAAAGTTGATTAAATTCTTTAAAATTAAACTTTAATTTTGCCATATTATCATCTGTGGGAAAATGTAACTAATATTTATATTCTGAGGAAACTTGATTCCATAAATACCTTTCACCACTTTTAAAATATGTTTCCACAAAAGCCTTCTGCTTCATTTTATTTTGCTTGTCTCCTTCCCCTGAAAACATATAGATTAAGCCATAAACAATACTGGAAAGAATATGATATAATTATAAATGTAACAGAAGTAATATGACTACAGAAAAATAGATTTATAACCATTTGTAACAATGAATACATTTTCTCTGAGTATCAAAGTTAGTTTTTTAAAACAATGTTTTTATGTGCATTCAGAATAAAGAAATTATTTGTCTTCAGCCACAGATAGTGAATTACAGATAGTCTAATAACAAGTAAAATACTTTGTATGGTTCTTTTTTCTTTTCCTTCTTCCTCAGAAGAATTCTTATGATCACATTCTGGAAGATTGTCATCTTCTAAACAGGATTCATATTCTTCATAAGTTGTCTGATCAAATATTTCTGTTAAGGTATCCTTTTCTCTTTTTACTTCTTCTACAAATATAAGTAACAATAAGTATTAGCAATCAACATGACTACGCCCAATAAACTTAAAGATATTAGTTTTTAGTAGGACATAAACACATTCCCATCTGAGTTTTCCTCTTTAAAAAGATGGGTGAAAGTTATATATTAGTTCTAAGAGAGTCCTAGCATTGTTTTAAAGGGATGGCTTTAACTATTGGTTTAATTCTATTACTTTATTAAACATGTAAAAAAATTCCCTCTGTGAGGGAGATAAGCAGTTTTAAAATGTGATAAATAAATAAATGAATAAATATTTTAACTGCATTTAATGTCAGCAGACTAGATGCAAAAGAAAATGATGTAGGCAGATTACTATTTCATATACACATACTCAGTTTGTTAAAGGTAATGTTTTTTTTTTCAAAATCCAAATTAATGTGTGTACTAATAGTGCATGAGAGAATTTACAGGTAGTCCTCCAGTTATGATAGGAATCGGGACTGCTATGCCCATGTTTTCAGTTCTTGTAGCCAGCCACAGACTATTTATATTTGAAAACTCTTTTTACTCCATATACTTGTGTTATGTGGTTACTCATCCCTCCTCACTTATGGCCCTGTCTTCCTACAGCTAGTTTATAGAACTCCACCTAGGTTGTTGCATGCAGTAAGTTTGCTTCTGTTGCTTCTTTGCAGACTGTGGTCAGGTTCGCCCTCCCTCTCCCAATCCTTTGGCTCTGTCTCAGTTGGTCTTGCTCCAAAGGGTTGCTCCAAAGGCTGCCATTTCTTCTTAAGATTGCCACTGAGTTGCTTGCTTTGGACTTTCCTTGTTTTGCTACAGTCTTATTGGCTTAATTCCTTTGTCACCACACCTATACACGCTCTGTTTTTCTTATCTGTTTAATGGGATGCTCTCCAATGAAATAGAAGATGGAGCTGATTTAAACCTTTCCCACAGACTGCTGAAACTCTGGATCTCAAGAAGGAAGGAGAAATGTAGCTTATTGGGGCAGTGAGTTTACCCTTTCACAGTGGGCTTTTCACGCACTACCATCATTCCCTATTAACTGTGATTCTGATGCAATTGTTGTTTTGATGCATCTATGGAATGGAATCACAAATCCCCATAAGTAGAGGTACATTAATATGATCTATCTTCTTAATTCGCCAACATGATTGCCAACGCCCAATAACGGATATGGCACAAGAAGATCTTCTTAATACCTTTATTATCTGTATAATAAAAAATTATATTAAACAAAAATAAACTTACCTGGATTGCTTACTTCTTTCTGTCTTTGCTTTTTCATTCTTAATAGAATACTATCACTGATATACGTATGGTCCATGTCCAGGGTCTCTGACTCAATTCTTGTTTGAGTTTCTTCCTTTTAATTAGCAAAATTAAAGATAACTATGATAGACAAAATTAAAATATCTCTCCTAAAATTCAACTATATTCTTATAAATATTCAAGAAATCTAAATCAACATTTTAAAAACAAATATTATACTTATCATCTTTTTAGCTTCTAGAACAATCCCAAATCTTTTGGAGGTGCAGCATACAAAGCAGCTGCATAATGTGCAAATTCTGATCAAAGCCTCAATAATATTTATTTTCCAAAGATTAGAAATTCATACAGTTTTTCATATGTAAAGAAATATAAGCATGATTTGGAGTTTCTAGCAGATAAACTTCATTGAGCACTTCTATAAATGAAGAGAATTATATCAATTTTGTTTAGAATTGATACAGGAATGGAATTATATTTTCATGGAAATTCAAAGAAGCAGAAAAACAAAGGAGTAATACTGCACTTTGGGCAATTTCATTATACAAAATAAAATTTAAGTTAAATTTTGAATTTCTCTACTTTAGGCTTATATCTTAAATATTTATCCATAATTATAATGTGTAGGTATGCACAATTCAGTTTGTACCTATCTGCAATTGATTGAACAAGATTCTGAAGTATCTCTTCTCATTTACAAAGCCAAAGTACTTTTAACGTGAATATAATCCTCCAAGAGTCTGATTAGGATTGCATATATATTGGAGATCTATATAGGTAAGATAGATAGGCAAACATTTGTTGCCAAAAAGCCTGCTTGGATACAGTATTATTATTTTTTTTTTCAAGTTAAGGATAACATTACTAGTGGTATATCAGAATGAAGATATTCTTCATACAATTCTCTAAAACAAGGAGTTCCTACATTCAGTCTTTCATATAAATATCACAAGCAGATTATAAATGAAAATTCATAAGGGAGGTTTCTAAAGTATCAGTGTTTCTAAAGATATATTTGAAAACTTTTCATATTTTTAATGGATTATAATATCCAAAATATAAAAAAGAAGATAATGCTTTTGGTGAGAATAAAGAAGATATATTAAAGGAAACTTTTTGAATGAGAAGTTGGAATGTCATTTTCTTGGTAGATAATCAAGTAGTCCTTGACTTATGACTGTAATTGAGCTCATAATTACAATTGTGAGTCATGCTGGTGGTTAAGGGGGTCATCATGTGACTGACCTAACTTCACAACTTTTTTGTGGTAGTCGTTAAACATTTTTCTAGCAAAAAAACAAGCTAAATCGGGTCACATGACCACAGAATGCCACAAACATGCAACTTCTTGTGCCAGTTGTACCCTCATGCTTTAGTCATCTCTCAGTTGAACTACTTCAACATGGGGCTGCCCTTGAAGAGTATTTGGAAACTACAACTGATACAGAATTCAGCAACACGGACAGTTCTGGAGGCGTCCTGGGCGGCTGGTTCTTAACTTTTAATCTTTTATTCTAATTTTAATTGTTTTTTAGCACTTTTTAACTTTGCTATTATATTGCAAGTCGCCAAGACTCACCGCATTAGTGAGATGGGTGGGATAGAAATTTAACAAACAAGCAAATGTGTGCCAGTTGCTGAGCACCCAAAATACAATCTGATGACTGCATGGGGGGGGGGGTAGAGGGACTTTGAATCGAGTCGTAAGTTGTAAGTCCGTTTGGGAGGTCCATTGTAACTTTGAATGGTCATTAAGTGAGGATTAACTGTACATGTTTAGAGATTTTAATAACATGATTCTATGCTATAAGAAGCACTGTTTCAATGTGAAATTATGTTTAGGAATTAGCTGTAAAGCTTTGCATTATCATTAATTAAATGTATATCATTTTTATTTAGTCTAAAATTTACTTTCAAGAAAAAATGATACTGTTTCATTTTATTTCATTCTTAATAGATCAAGAGTCTAATTTATTCAGGTGTGTTCAATGAGCAAAACTTTAAAATTCCTTACTTTTGTGTCAATCAGAGTAACGTCCATTTTGTATTGAGAAAGGTCAGCTCCTGGATCTATACTCCATTGTACATTTTCCAAAGGTATTTTATCTGGGGAAAAAATCATAAGTCTATAGTAACAAAATTCCACATACAGTAGATATAAAATACAATTCGTAGCCTGTATAATTATAGACTTCAGGTGTCATAAAAATAAAAAGCTATACACGAGAATATGCAAGTAGTAAATTAAGAGAATATCCCAGAAATAGCATGGAAAGATCTGTATCTGGAAGCATGTTTTGGTTATGATAATGCCAGCAATAATAACAGAGTGTATTGTATTACATTACAATACCAGAGAGATTAACCCTAGATAGCCAGTTTGGTGTAGTGGTTAAGGAATCAAGCTAGAAACTGGGAGAACCTGAGATCTAGTCTCGCCTTGGACATGAAACCAGCTGGGTGACCTTGGGCCAGTGACTTTCTCTCAGTCCTAGGAAAGAGTAATGGAAAATTATTTCTGAAAAACCTTGCCAAGAAAATTGCAAGGACCTATTCGGGCAGTCTCCGAGGATCAGATCAGTACTGAACAGAAGAAAAAAACAAACAAACAAAAAAAACCGAGCAAAGGAATTAGATCCAAAGCCTGTGATAGTCCTATTCATTTACAAATTTATGAATAAAAAGATACCTTGCTCAAGTTGTGTGATTTTTGTCACTCTGCAAGGATTTGGTTGAAGTACTGATGCTGGCTCACCCATTCCATGTCCTGATCTTATTCTCTTCCGTATTGGTTCATGATCACCAGCAACCTCCTGCCAAAACAATCGAGAATAAACAACATACCAGTACTGATTTTTAGTATAGAATTACTATCTGCCTATGCATATTTTCAGTTGCATTTATCTTCTGACCATCAAACCTATATGCAGAAACAAAAGTACTCTCCCTATGTATCTTGCAAAATCTCTACAGGAAAAAATTAATTCAGTTTCTCAAAAAACTCATTTCAGATAAGGGTGAACTGTAAAATAAATGCCTTAGTCACATACTTACTTTTATACTGTCATCATTTTGCAAAGATGGATTAGAAAACTTAGCAATTTCCTCTTTTACTTCATCCTCTTTCACTGGGGACATTTTGGTAAGAGATTTTAGTATTGCTTCTTGTATGCAGGGATTCTCTTGTGAATCTTTGTTCACTATGGAATTATTATTGGTGATTTTAGAAGAATCTTTCCCTAGAGGTTGAAAAACATCATGGAGAGTTGCCTGCCTCATTTTTATCTTGGAACTTTCAGCAATTATTTTTTCACAGTGAAAATCAGAGAAGCGATCAGACAGATCCAAAGGTTTATCAGTTGTGTTATCTCTGGCAATAGGAGAAACATCTGCATGGGATGGAAAAGCATTTTCTTTTTCACAGCGGATTACATGGTTGCTCTTCTCGTCATTTTTTTTCCTTCTGGAACATCTGTTCCCTAACAGTTTCTGTGATGCAAGGAAGCCGCCTTTGATGATGTCACTTTTATCCAGATGTGTATTGGTCACACATGTTATGGGTTCCTCTGAATTCTGTTTCAAAGCCACTTGCCTACCAACTGAAGTTTGATTGAGAACTGTTGCTACTTCAGTCCCAAGGCTCATAAAAGAAATGTCTTCAGATTTTGATCTCACTTTCTCAGATCTTAAAAGGGAAGAATTATTGATGGATCTGTTTTTCAGATTTGATTTTTTCTCAGCTGCTAAAACAGATGGGGAGAAACCTAAGCTACTTTTAATATTGGCAGATGCCCCGAAAACAGGAGAAGGTATCTTGGAATCCCATGTTGTAAGTGAAGAAGGATCTTCAGATGGATTGGAAAATCTAAATAGAATTAAGTTTTATAAATAAATAAGTTTAAAGGAAATTACAAAACAAGACTCATTTGCTTGCAAGTATGTTTAATGATTTTGGTATATCTATTATTTATAACATGTTCCCATAAAAATTATTTAGGCTGATTACATTTTAAAAAGTTAAAATCTTTGAAATGTATGAGCATTTATGAGTAAGAATTAAAAGGATTAAAATTAATAATACAACAGGTTCATAAGTTGAGCAGCAGACTCAGGTACTTAGGGAATCGTGAAAAAGCTGTTAAAGACACATTAACAACATTACAGAAACATATAAGTAAGTAGCAGGCAATCTTCTGTAGGAAAGGAATTTTTAAAATTGTCTTTAAGAATAATATGCTCCTAGTTGTTACCCACTTATCACATGTAACAGGCTAAATTACTTATAGCAGTGGTTCTCAACCTGTGGGTCGGGACCCCGTTTGGGGTCGAACGACCATTTCACGGGGGTCGCCAAACAACGCAGTCTGCCATTTTTTTCTCCCTTTTCCTTAGCTGTGCTACTCCCTTTTATTCTATTGGCTTTTGAAAGCCAATAGAATAGACTCTCTTGAATAGAGTCTAATTCTATTGGCTTTCAAAAGCCAATAGGAATTGTCCAGGAATTGTCTCCTCTGCCTGCTGAGCCCGCCAAAAGTCCCATTCTGCACCACTTGAGTAGTCCTCGACTTACGACCGGTTGAGTAGTCCTCGACTTACGATCGGTTGGGGGGGGTCACGGCATTAAAAAGGTTGAGAACGACTGATTTATAGGAATATATCCATATATAATCCTAAAGTATCAATAAACACGTGGGAGAATATGATCTTTCCATTCTTAAAAAAAAAAAAAAAAAAAGGAAGACTCACTCTAAATTGTCACTATTACTTTTATAATACCCTTGAACCAATTGTTTTCTTGCAACTCCAAGTGGTTTCCTGCGAGGTTCCTATGGAACAAAAAAATATGATTTCAGCAATAATTCCAATATTGCACAATATAATTTTCTAATGGGCCCCAATTATATTTATTCACTTAAGAAAGTGAATATAACTGAACAAAGAATATTAATATTAATTCAAAATCTTAAGATCAGACCAACAAACTGATTGAAAGAAGACAATCATCCCAGATACAAACAGTGTACAAAGCACAGAATTATCATATGTACATATTTAGAGGTTGTTTTAAAATTTTTAATTCTCAGTGAGATTTGTGGGATGGAAAAGGGGGAATAAAGTACATATAGAACCTTGAATACTGAAAATTTGAGTGAACTGTATATGATACCTAACTGTTCCTTGGCTTCCAAACCTAGTATTTTGTAGTCCTCAACTTATGACCAAAATTGCACTCAAAATTTCCATGGCTAAGTAAGACAGTTGTTAAATGAATTTTGCCCCACTTTACAATCTTTCTTTCACAGTTGTTAAGTGAATCACCGCAGTTGTTAAGATGATAGTTAAGTGAATCTGGCTTCCTCATTGACTTTACTTGTCAGAAGGTTGCAAAAGATGATCACATGACCCCAGGACACTGCAACCATCATAAATACATGCCAGTTGTCAAGTGTCCAAATTTTGATCATGTGATCATGTGGGTGCTGCAACAGTCGTTAAGTATGAAAAATGGTCATAAGTCACTTTTTTCCCGTGCCATTGTAATTTCGAACAGTCACTAAACAAATGGTTATAAGTTGAGAATTACCTGTTTACTTGTTTTAAAAATGCATTTATACCTAATTTTCAAGTGCAAATAAATTTATTTGTGTATTACTAAGGAATTAGTACATGAATGAAACTTTTGTTGAGCAGTACTTTGGAATATTAGCCTATCTGCCTCTGTGAATTGTCCTGCATATAGTTAGAATATATTTGAAGAACTTGGTCAGTTGTTGATACTACTTGTATTAAAAATACTCAGCATGCCTTCTCAAACCTAGTTCTGAGAGCACAGGATTTTTTACACAATGTTCATGCTTATTAAAAATGAATTATGTTCCAAAACTATAACTAAGGAACTACTGTCAAACAATGAAGTTATATTTATTCAGCAAAGAAATGTATAGAGCAGTGCAAAAAAATTGGTATCTATTCCTTCATGCTTATGCAGATGTAGGAATGATGTAATCATTTCACTTGGTGTAATGAAAACGTACAGGTAGACTGCAATTTTTAGACTCTACATTCTTATTTAGCTTTTTGGGAAAAGATCAGAAGAAGCCATTATAAATTACACATGTCTGATTGCTTTATATACTGTGCTTAACAGCTGGTGTTATGTTTTGTAAGTCATTAGATGAAATAAGAAAAAGGAAAAAAACTCTTCTGTATGGAAATTAATCTCTCAAATAGACTTTGTGATAGATCATAAAAATAGTACTTACATGTTCATCACATTCAAGTGTTTCTGCAACAACTCCCTTGAAATTAAAATGCATTGTATTGGGACATTCTTCTTTCACTTCTTTCCCTGTACCAATGGAAAAGGAAATCAGCAAAAAATACATAACATAAATATTTTCCCATTCTTGGTAATAATCTTTTCAATCTTTCATAGACTGAATTAAGCCTTACGTTTTGCATCTCCTATCTAAAGAAGAAAAAAAAATCTACTGGTTAGATTGGTACAATCTTGTGCCAAATCATTTACAAGCTATTGGACATTGAAATATTCTTCTTGCTAATAGCCTGATTCAGAAATGACCACTTTTTGTTACTTAGGATTCTGCATCTCTTATTAGTCATAATCTGTATTATGAGGTCAACATCTAGTAATAAGCATATTTCAATTTCACTAGTCCTAGTAGAGAGCAATTATCACACTTTTTCATGGACCTACCAAGTATTAGATTCAACTCATTCTTTTATCCTCTAACCTGCTTTGCTTTCATTAGACATATAAAACTAGTTGTCATAAACAGAAAGCTACTAGTTTTTGTGGTTCATCAGAACAAAAATTTTGCTCCATTTTGACTGGTTTCATCATCTACTGTACAATAGTATAGTCTCAATATTGAAAATCAATATAATGTCAATATTGAAAACAAACTGTATGACTATTTAATATTCTCTTATCAATGCTGTCAACAAACACATTTTTTTCAAATTTTTAGTAGTCCATATTTAGGTTATATATTTATAGGTCAAAATAGTATGTGGAATATTGATGAAATCAAGAGAAAATAAGAAAAAAGTAATAGTTCTGAATCAAAGTGGCTTTATCCTATGAAATGGAATTAAATATATTAATACATATATGGAAGTACAGATGTGGAATGGAACTGAATGTATGAATATGTACAGACATGTGTAAGGTTAATTAGGAATGAAAAGTACTAGGCTAGTGATAATGTTTAAAAATGTTTCGAATAATTGTTGGAAATGTAAACAAAAGCCAGGTACTTATTATCACATCTGGTGGGTATGTCCTAGTGCAAAGAAATTTTGGCCTAAGATTTATATATGGCTGGAAAAGATGACTAAAATACAGATAGAATTTAAACCAGAATTGTTTTTGTTAGGATTACTAGGATCTAACTATGGGAAAAAGAATGAGTATTTAATATTACATATATTGACAGCTGCGAGAATAGCATTTGCCCAATATTGGAAAAATGAAAATGTATCATCTGATGAAATCATAATTAGGAAAATTTTAGAATGTGCAGAAATGGACAGACTAACCCTAGAGATTAAAGAGAAAGAAGACTCAGTTTATTTTAAAACATGGAAAAACTTTTATCAATGGTTAACAAAATGAGTTAGTGAGAAATGATTATGAAATTTATTAAGATGAACGATGTTTATTGATTAATTAACATGCTCAATAATTATTATTTTTGTTGACTACAGCTACTTATTATTATATTAGCTCAGTGGTGGCGAACCTATGGCACAGGTGCCAGAGGCGGCACTCAGAGCCCTCTCTGTGGGCATACGCGCTGCCGCCGCCAGCAGCTCATGCAGGTCCATTAGGCACCACGGCGGCCCGAGGTGGGGCCAAGGTGCATCAGGTGCATGAGGGGAACAGGCTCCATGCACGGGCCAAGGGCAAGATCTATGAGAGGGCCAAGATGACCAGCAGTGACCTGTTCTCCAACCGCAAGCAAAAGCAGATAGGACAGAGTAGGCGCATCCGGTGGTCTGTATCACATGTCTCCCCCCTCCCCTACTCTGCCTGCTGCTGGAGGGCTGGCCTGATATTGGCAGCAGACTGTGGAGCCCCAGAGTGCACCAGTTGAGGGGCCGGCAGGCTGTGGCTGCTGATAGACACCGTTGGCCCCCATGCGCTCGTTGGCTTCTGTGTGCGGGGGCTGATGGTGTCAGGCAGCAGCTGCCCCAGCCTCGCCTTGCCCTATGGCAATGGCATCCCCACCGTGCTCCCTGCCTCATCCCTTAGGATGAGCCTCCTGAGCCACCGCCACACTCACCAGAGACCCCCCTGGATCTCCCTCAACCCTGCCCAGCACCCACAGGCTTCCCCACCATGAGCAATATCAAGGTAGCCATGCCCATCCTGTCTGCTGCGACCACTGCAGTCACGCCCACCCAGTGGGCCATACAATGCTGATGTGGCCCTGGCACTTTGTGATAAATAAGTGGGTTTTGGGTTACGGTTTGGGCACTCAGTCTCTAAAAGGTTCACCATCACTGTATTAGCTATTCCCACTGAATACCTCTATCCGGACGATAGTTTGTTTGCTAAAGCTTGGAATGTCATTGGGGGCAACCCCAATGTTGTACCTACCCCCATCCCACACCTTTCCCTGAACCCCACCCCACCCTGAATCCCACTACCTATATCGATCCTCCTCTTCCCTTACCTTTATAAAACTCAATAAAATATTATTAAAAAAAGGAATGAAAAGTACTAAAACATATAAGGTACAGAATGCTATAATAAAGATTATTATGGATGAGTATCAAAGTACTAATTTGTAGATTGGTGATAACTGGTTTTCCATTCCACTGAATGGTGAGAAAAATATTTTAGGAGCCATAAAGAAACAATAAGAATGAGCCAAGAAGTTACAGAAAAATGATTCAACTATTCAGAGATCCAGAAATGAATGACAGTGGGGATTGTTGGGGTATACCTGCGTAGAAAATGCTATTTCAAATATGTCATATAAACTTATTTATGAGCACATATGGCAAAGGAAGGAATTTGTATCTAAAAGCATGATTGATGCAATTGTTTTTGATGAAATACTGAGAGGAATTAGTGATGGATATACAAAGATGATGAGATATTCTGAATACGGGACAGATTATTTCTTAGTAGTCAAATGTGACCTTGAGAAAATGGACATTGAAGAAAAGGAACAAAGTGAAAAGAGGTAAACCATGTTATAGTGAACTAGATTTAGCTATATTTCCTTTCGCTTTCTTTTACCTCACATCTTTAGTTCCTTTTGTTCCTTATTTCTTAACTCCTTCTGTCCTTTGATAACATTACTTACTGTGAAAGGGAACACCATCATATGCATCTATGTATTTATGTGTGTGTGTCTATGTATTGCAGAAATAATTCCTTTAATATATAGATATTAAAAAGCAAATGTTAAAATAATTTTTATTGGAATCTCTGCAAAATTATGTTTTTCAATGCTGCTTGAAAAGTGAAGAATCTGAAAATCATAAAAATGCTTTATAACAATGCGATCACTCTTGTTGCTAAGCACAAATTACCAAGCTGACCTTAAGTGACTGACCAAAGAAATCAGTATTTATTAAAGCTACCTCCTGTTTTTCAGCCAAGCTGGCTCCCAATGTGCTAAAAACAAAGAACTAAAATAAATATACAAGCAGTAAAAAATAGAAAAACACAGATTAAAAGGAGGCAGGGAGAAAATATTCAGGCTTTTGATCCCTGCAGGTTGCTTTGCTGATGCAATAATTTGCTGAGGTTCTTTGTTGCTTCTTGAAACCTGGTGGGATATCTTGAAGAAAAATATTTTTAAATAATTCATGGCACATATAAAAAAATTGCCTGAGTAGGTCTAATTTGGCCTCATCATCAAGATTACATTCACCACAACTTCTGTTACAAATTTCCAACTTAACCCAAATATGTATATCCTCATAACATATCTATATCAAATTTTCTGAGTGTCAAAAAACCTCCAGAACACACTGAATACTGTTCTAATATGTTTAAAAACTTATTAAAAACATCAGAAAACTTTTTCTATTGCAATATACATAGAACCTGAAATTTTAAATTTTAACTTATATTTCTTAACTAAAAATCAATTACACTAAACTACATAAAATAGTATTGGCTGGATCAATATTAAAACATATGCATATTAAATTTCTGAGGCAGTTATTTTATAACTTAGCATTTCCCCAGATATAATAGCATGTCATAAATTCTTGGCAACATAGTTTTTCTGACTGCAAATTATAGTAATTACATTCCAGTAAAAGCTGAATCTTGAATTTTGATTCTGCTTAATTTTAATTTGTTGATAAAAATCTTAAAAGTTATATGAGAAAATAAGCTTCCAATATTATGCAGCTGACTGCTCAAGCTAGACAAGCTTGTGGCAGATAAACAGCTAAGCTAAGAATAATTAATTTACATAAAGCTATACTATAATTGCATTACTGTTCCATCTGTTTTCTTCAAAAATATTTCGGAATGAAATATTTGAACATCTGTTTCTTTTCTAACTAAAAAAAATTATAAGAGATCTCTTTAAAACAATTCATTTCTTTGTTATTAAATAATAGGGTTGCTATTTATTAAATATTAAATAATGCTAAAATTGGTGATATTTACCTGAATCTGGGGACAACTGTGGATCACATGTATCTGCCACCAATATTTCTTCTTCAGAGCAAACATGCTTTTGAGTGGATGACAATGGAATATTTCCAAATTCTACAAAGAAAAATAAAATAAAACACAGAATTTGTACTTAAATATTTATAGAAAACTTAAAAAAAAATCCCGACATGCTTAGATCCAGTGATGGGATTCAGCCAGTTCGCACCACTTTGGCAGAGCTGGTAGCTAATTTTTTGTTGCCCAGGCCCAGAATGGACTTCCGGATGCAGCATCCACACAGAGAACCGGTTGTTCACATATTTTAATCCCACCATTGCTTAGATCCCAAATGGTTTTGGTTTCTGGTTAACTATCCTGCTTTTCTTCTTGATATATTTTGTTTTCTTTTGATTTCTATCTATAAGCTACCCAGAGCTGGTATGAAGTTAGGCAGCCTCAGTGTTGGAATGATAAATAGATAAATAAAAGCTGAACAGACCTGGAAGCATAAATCCTTTTTCTCTGAGAGAGTTTTGAGTAGTTTTTGTATGTAAACAAGCCAGCAAAATAGCTGAGTAAGAACTAGATGTATTGATTCAAATTTCAATAAAGCACAAATTCAGTATGTACTGTAAACAATTTACATTATGCTTACATAATAAAACATAACTACCAACCTACTATTCAAAATTCACCACAAAATATTTTTGTATTAATTACTGAAAATTCTATGCAACAATCTGAACATCTGTGGATTTCCATTAAAGTGGTGCTCTTTGTCTTGTTTGGCTTTTGGATGTCAGAAGTAAGCAGATGGCTGTAGATTTTAATTGGTTTCAGTATTTTGATTAGCTATTAAACTGTGTTGTAAAAATAGTTACTTTCTGTTCATAATACTAGGAAAAAATGCATTTATTTAGAAGTACCTGAAGTATGCAAGCTTAAAAATTGGAGAACATTTAAGGTTTGAGGACTTGGGTACTGAACAAAAGATACTAACCAAAGAACATCTTAGTGTTATTTAGTAGTCTAAATTAGGTAGGTATGTACAGTGATATATAATAAAATCTAGAATATAATATATAAAAATTAAATAAAATATTCTGCTTTTGTCAATGGCTAACCAGATGCTTTCAAGGACAGAGGGTTATAAAAACCTTAGATCACAGGATAGGTTTATTTTCTTACAGATTTTACCATTATTGAATTTTCTTTTAAAAAAACCCTGAACTTAAACTATTTCAAACCCACTATATATTTAAAAAACTAAGTTATAAACAAGCATATTTGAACAGAAACTGGAATATCCAAAAGAATTCTATGCAGTTTAAAAGACTGCTGTACATAAGAGCTCTAATACTGAATGTATGTGTCCAAGTTATGATTTTCAAATAAATACATAACTATATTTTAAGTATTTAAGAAAAAATAGTATTGTTTAAAAATAAAAGCATTCCAAAAATTTCATCTTGTAGTACAACTTATACATAACAGGAGAATTGCTTTTATGATTTTCAATTTTGTATTTTTATCTCTATCTATATGAATAACAGCCTGGTTTAAAAGCTTAGGCATTATTTATTTATCAAATTTACACATTGCCCATCTCACTATCCATGTCTCTGGGTGGTTTACTGAAACAAATGATAAAGCCATATAAGACAAATATAATTAAAAACATTTAAAACAGAGTGGAAAATAAAATAAGAGTTTAAAAGATCAGTTAAAAAATGAGTAAGATAAAAAAGCTGAAGGGAGTATCTTGGAAAATGACCAAGACATGAGTGAGTGAGTGAGAGAAGGGACTCCCAATTCAGAAAGGGCTGTAACTGGCCTTCCTAGCCATTATTGCTACTTGCTCCTTGAGTAAATATTTTAAACATGCTTTTTTATTAAATAACAGCTATACTTCAGATTAAAATCACAATTTTAAATAACTCTCTCTCTCTCTGTGTTCATCTCTGTCTGTATGCTTGTGTGTCTATGACTAAAAGATTTTAAACAATAGTTTATCATCTATATTTTCTTTTATTCCAATTTAAACTTGGATATCATAAAATAAAAATCCTTCTATTGTCCACAAGGTGGTGATGTAATGCTTAAAGTGGAGCAACTAAAATTAAGAACTTGTTTTTTATGCTGCATAACATTTTTGAAGATACATTTGTATTATTTCAATGAAACAGACGCTTAAACTACTGAAAATATTACTTAACTGAACTAATTATATTCAAATGTCTACATTCTGATGATTTTAGTTTGCTAGTATTGAAAACAAGGGTTAAATATTGAGCTGATTTAACAGGCAAAAAAGGAGCACAAAAAAACTATTGTTCTGTTACCTTTGAAATTAAAATTATTCCCAACTACTTTAGGGGAAGAATTAATTATTAAAAACTATACCATATTTTGTTCCTTTCTTTTCCATATCTGTACACTTTTGTTCTGTGTACCGGACATGCCTATTTTCTCGCTTACGCCGCATTCGATTAACCATTGAAAGTGACAGTGACTGAACTGGTGAATCTGGAATAACGTCTTCCATATATTGCTCTTGCTCCCTAAGAAAACCATAGAAGAACAATATGAATAAAGGCTAAATACATCAACCTCCCCCATTCTCTCATTTTCCTGGAGACCGACTCAGTGAAAGTCTATCACATAACCACTGAACGGTTATTTCCAAATCCTTTTTTCTTCTTCTCTTACCTGAACTGGGGAAGGAGAGTAGTAAACAGAGGTGAAATTAAGGAAGAAGGGAGCTCCTATGCCTGGAGAAATTACTGAGAGGGATGAAAAAGCACTATGAATTAAATAATAATAATCAGAAAGTCCATAATAGCTGGAAATGATCAGGAAAGTAACTTCAGAAAAAAACAGCAGTAAGGTGGAAAACAGAAATGTTTCAGCCTTTCCAGCCTTCAAAGATAACAACCTGGAAGAAGCATAGAGCAACTGATAAAACTTGGAAGAAAATACTGATTAAAAAAAAAAAAAAGTAGTATGGCAGCAGTATGCATATAAATGATGATTATAAAGATTGTAAATTATACAAGTTTAAAAACATTAACTAGAAATGACAAGAGGTCATTTCCCAACTTCATTTAGAATTGTAGATAAGAATTGCAGATAACCTTAGCTTATCTAGTAAATACAGTTTGGTATTGCTATGATCATCTCCACTATATTCCCAATCCAAATATCTTATAGTACTAAAGATTGAACTAAATGTAAAGGAAATTCTCTCAGCAAAGAGCTAACCTTTGTTTTTATTTATTCACTGAACTCCTATTTTCTTGTAGCTGAAAAACACAGCGGATTTTTGAATATTTTGAACATGAAATTTGGAGATGAAAGGGTTTTTTTTTTTTAAACTGAAGTACTTAGCAGTATTTTACGAAAGTAGAACTTTTTTTGTTTAGGAAAATGAGTGTCTCATGTTGCACTGAGAGTGGGTACTTGCCTCCATTAGTAAAGTTATGGAGTTCTGCTTATGTCATTAACATGTCTTTTTTCCAGCACACACACAAAAGTTTATAATGGTCTATACCTGAGCTTCACTAATAATAACTTAAACAGATACATCCATGCATTCTTCTTGGTATGATATACAAGTTCTCTTTCATTTCTTCTGAGATAATTTTGTCTTTTACATTTATAAACAAACTTACTCAATTTTTTGCAGCATTTTCTGAAGCTTTTCGGAAATCTTTTTATTTTCATCCTGTAAGTTGTTTCTTTCGTTCACTGAAATAAAATGAAAGCATTATAATTTTCTGCTGTGTTTTATCTTCCTCTGTCCTTTTCCATAAACTATATATATAAAATCACTAAGATAACACTAAATGGATGTAAATGGAATATTTCATACAATACTTTATAAATCAATTACATTCATTGTAAGGTTTGGCAATAAATCTTTTCTTATTTTACCTTTTTCATCACATCAGAATATTCCTTAATTGTTAAGAATTAGAATTGTTGAGCACTCACATGACACAGGTTCAGAATTTGAAACAAAATTATATCTTAATACAAATGTGATATGTGAGCAAATGTATCCACCGAATCAAGTCTAAATGAAATGTTCTTGGTAATTTAGTTCAACATCAAGTAAAATCTTTTTGAATTTTGCCTCAAATAAATTAAAGCTTTCCATCTTACTATATTAATAACTTCGAAAAGTTGTTAAAGTATATTTCATGAATCCTCCAAAATATATGGCATTAATATCCCTCACATATCTCTTTTGAAGCATACCAGGTTAATTGTGAAGTCCTTGATGCTCTCTGAGCTTAGTTCTTTTCCTGAAGATGTTTCATTACCCAACAAGTAACATCAACAATGCTAGTTACCTTAGTTGGTTAATAAAACGTCAGCAAGAAAACAACCAAGCTCAGAGAGCATCAAGGACCCCACAATCCAACCCTGAGCTATATTCTCTTCCACTTGTATACTAAATTAAATTAAATTGAGCTTACTACTGGGTAAATGATTTTATGCAGAAATCCTCCTATGGGATTATCTCCGACTGAAAGACAATAGCGACACAAATCCCCAAATGCAAAAACAATGGCGTTATGACAAAAGGATGATAAAACTCACTCAGTTCAGTGATTAACTTAAGGTTCTGTTGCCGAATATTTTCAAATTCCTGTTGTTTCTTCTTCATATGCTCTTCAGTCACTGCACAACGATCACACAATCCTGCCCTTAACCTATGTAATTAGAAGGTGTATTTTCTCCATCTGTTTTTGGTTCAATATAAATTTTGAAAGTACTATATAAGTCAGCGCACTCTAAAGATGGGCTTATGATAAATTATAAAGATTTGGCTAATAGGATATACAAACATTAAGGCTGAAATCGTAAGCATACTTACAAGGTATTAAGACTTATTGAACAGTGCAGGATTTGCTTGCAAGTAATAATTCAATAATTGCTTTGTAGTAACTGAAATACTTATAATATTGAAGCATATTTCTGGGTTAACTCCAATTTCTGATCATTGAGTGAAGAAAATACTATTTGTGAGAGAAAAATATTTCTTCCCACATATGTTCTTATTTTATACTTCTTGAATATTCTCCAGAAAATTCATAGCTGGATATTATTGAAAAAAAATCCTTACAACTCAGCCATTATCTGATCCAATATGGCACAATCAGACATGAACCTTCGATATAAATGTTATCTTCAATAGCTCAGTTCTAATGTTATTCTGCAGGAAAACAAATACCTTAAGTATAGAATGCAAAGCAAAAATATTAAATTATATTTTTATGTTCTGAAAACTTTAAAAGTTTTAATAAAAAATTATAGGCCTATGACATTAGAATCTGAGAGGCCAAATGACCTATGTCAGTGGTGGCGAACCTATGACATGCGTGGCAGAGGCGGCACTCGGAGCCCTCTCTGTGGGCACATGTGCTGTTGCCCTAGCCTCGCCTCCCCCATGACCCCCTCCTCACTAGCAGCCCCCCTGGAGGAGAGTCGCCCCCAAGCGTGGCCAACACGGAGCAGCGCAGCCAAGGACATGGCAGCCAGGCAGCGTACACAAGACTCTGCCCTCACGTCCCATCGCGCACAGTTGATGCTGCAGGGCGCGGGCAGAGGGTGTGGCCGCCATGGCGCTGCTGGGCTGCCTGGGCAATTTGCAGCGGGCCCTGTAGGCGGTGAACGGCCCTGCAGGTAGGTGGGATGGAGGATGGGGTGGGGGCGGGGCCAGTTTTTGGGCACTTGGTCTCTAAAAGGTTCACCATCACTGACCTATGTGATCTTGTAAAAATGTTGTAAAAAGACCTATTTTTGGTCTCGCCCAGAGTTCAACAAACATTATGGATAAGCAATATTTTAAAGGAACTAGTGACAAATTTACAACAATGGAAATTTCTGATCCAGTAATATAGCAAGAAGCTATTATTCTAACAGTATTTTTTTTAAAAGGAAGCCTTTTGAAAAGCATATAGTTGTTCTGCGTTCACATAGCATGCGTGCCCATTTATTTTGGCAAACTCTGGGTGTCTAGCATAAGAACAAGCAAATCACTCTGCCTTTTTCTCTCTTCACTGTAGCTGGCCAGTCAGTCCTTACCCACCAGGGAGCTAATCTTTACATGCTAATACAAATAGGATGTTTAGGAGATCCATGAATGGCCAAATTGCTATGGCAGGAGCAATTCTAGTTGTGCCTGCTACTACCATTGACTTCAGGCTTAGAGAATAGGAGCTTTTAATTATTTAACTTCTTTATCTGGGTTCATGCAGAGCAAGGGCTAAGTGAAGCAGGATTCCAGATTCTGCTATAAAGTTTCTCTGTTAACTACCAGCTTAAGCCTAGAAGGGATTCAAATGATACACTAAGTTTATCTTTATTATGTGTCATGAAAGTTCTGCCAATAGCATTCTAACATTCATAAGCTTGTTATTACAGATTTCGGGTTTGTTTGCTTGCACCCCGAAGAAAAGGGCAATCTGTAAGCAAAAGTTTCATCTGTATTTCAACTTATTAACCTGGCACGATTAACTAAATATGGTCGTTCTGTTAGTTCAGTAAAGCCATCACTAAAAATAATGACAGTGTATATATATTTGAGGAAAAAAATTAAAACATACCAGAAAATATTAAAAAGCAACACGGTATTATAGACCCCTAGTTGATCAGAATGTCAGAGGTCATTCTAGTCCAACCCTCAAGAAGATTCCCATTTCTCACTAAGTCATTTCTGCTGCAGGCAAATATACCCAGTCCCCTTAACTGTTCATTCCAGGACTTGGTTTTCAATTCCCTTTTGCCATCTCAGTGATCTTCACCTGAACTTGCACCAATTTATAAAAATCATTTTTAAACTGTGAAGTCCTGAAGTGAGCATAATATTCCAAGTGGAGCTTAAGCAAGGCACAGTAGAGTAGGATAATTACTTCCTATGATCTGAACTCTATATTCCTGTTAATATATTTTAACATATCATTTACCTTTCTAGCTGCTCCATAATGTTGACTTATATTCAGTGCATGATCTATTAGAGCGCTCTGATTTTTTCACACATGCTACTGCTAAATCAAGCCTTTCCCATCCTATGCTATCCATCCTTCCCCTTCCTTTGTTAGATTTAATTTCACACTGTTCATGTCAGATCACTGTTTAAGTAAATATGTATCTTTTTGAAACTTTATTTACTTTAGCCAGTCCTAGTTCTGCATCATCACCATCACTTTAACTTCTTCATCAAAGACATTAAGGCTGAACAACACAGGGCTCAGGAAAGAGGCTTGTAGCATTTCATATATATTTGGACTTTCTGCATCCAATTACAGCAACAAATGCAAAATAATATTCTGCATTTTGTTTAAAACTCCCATTATGCCCAATGGAATTTAGTATGCACTTTTAGGAGTACAGCTCGAACATTAATTTTAAACTATTGGTTGATCTTCATTTTTTATTATATATAATAAGCATATGCAGACAGAAGCAAAAATGTGGTTTTAGTGTCAGAATTCTTGCTGTTCAATCAACTTTAAATCTACCTAATATTGCAGAACAAGATTTTCCCTCCAAAGGATACATTCACATTCACCATATAGTATAATTTATATACACATCTCTGACAAAAATATACCAAGTATATTAGGACCAAGACTCAATTTTTCTGGATGCATCATTATGATTAATTGAGCTATCTAGTACTTAGGTATGTAGTTCTCACAGGAACTCATAACAGATGTGATGTTTGACTCAGGCACAATAAATATTAGGAACGGAGATTTGGGAGATTTCACTAGAATCTTAACATTATTCCTCTCTTCTTTCCCTGAATTTCTACAGAAATGCAGAAAGAAAAGACAAGCAAGAAATACCTGTTTTTAAAATTTTCTTTTGAATCTGGACAGATTGTTTTACTATAAGGATAAAGTAAAATGAGTAATTGCAAAAAAGTGCTTGCAATTTCTTATAGCCAGAGAACTTTGCTTCATAAGAGAAACAAAGGAGTAGATTACAAAATATAAAAGAATTATCCTACAAAGAAGTGAGAAAAAAATAAGAAGAGTCTAATCTTTTTTGGAAATTATATGCCAATAAGTACTGCATGAAATCTCTACTGTTTGTTTCCTATAAATTCTGAGTTGTGATTACTATTTTGTTAGACCTTTAATCTATATTAAAGATAATATTACTGCTAAGTAATCATTGATTATCTACTGAATAAAATCTGTAACTCATTTAGGACTATTCCTTTAAACCTGTACTAAACAAAAAGTAGCCGAATTCTGTAAGCAAAAAGAAATAATTCTTACTTACCGATCTTCTAAAACTGTAATAGTATCTTGCAATGATTTTTGTTGTTCTCTAAGCTGCTGGTTTTTTACATAGAACTCATCAAGCCTTGCTGCATCTCTGTACATAAAGGAAAATTAATTTTTAAATTGAGAATGTATGGGATTAGGTATAGTTTTATTAAGAAGAAATCCTGTTACTTCAGAGTTAACAAATAGCTATGAGTACTAACATTTGGACTGAATACAAATTCTGTGTTACAAAACTGATAGATTTAAATGGTAATAAATAACAAGTTTCATCCATAACGTATTACAAATGACGTAAATGTAGCCGCGCTGGGTCTCTACTATAAACAATCTGAAAGAAAAATGAAAGTTCTTATATAATACTGTAGGGAAGAATAAAATGATAGCAAAAATACTTTTTCTCTATTATGTGTGTCTATCAAGGGAACCATGCGCAAGTATCTAGCCTTAATGAATCAGTGTTCTTTGCTTATAAGCTGGATAGAGAAAATAAGATGACCTATATAGACTAGGGGAAGCACACTGGAAATAGGGAAACAATGCGGTCTGCGACAAACACAATGGCTTGCTGTTCAGTTGCTAAGTCATATCCAACTCTCCGCGACCTCATGGCCCATAGCACACCAGGCCCCTGTGTCCACCAGTTGTCTCCTCAAGTTTGCCCAAACTCATGCCCATGTGTTGATGACACCATCTAATCATCTCATCCTCTGATGTTCCCTTCTCCTTTTGCTTCAATCTTTCCCAACATCAGGAACTTTTCCAATGAGTCCTCTCTTCTCATTTGGTGGCCAAAGTATTTGAACTTCAGCTTCAGCACCTGTCCTTCCAAGGAACAGTCAGGGTTGATTTACTTTAGGATTGACTGATTTGATCTCCTTGCCGTCCAAGGAACTCTCAAAAATCTTCTCCAATACCACAAAGCAAAATATAATGGTAGTATATATTTAAGCATTAAAATGTATTTGGCTCAGTTATGGAAACAGAGCAGGCTTGTGAGATGTGTTTGAATATTAATAGTACAGCAGGTTTGTTTCTAACAAGAAAACAACTGAATATGCTGTATATCTTGGGGCAGCTCTCTTTTTAACTAATTCAAAGCCTAAAACGATATCTAATATAAATTAACATATGCAAAAAAGAACTTTACTAGCAAAACTGGCTACAAAAAAGAAAGCAAATATTTAAGTGACTGATGAAGTAAGGGCATACTCCAGATTTAAAGACAATACACATTAGTATGAAACACCTTTCTTTAAATCCATGAAACTGCTGCATCTTTTGTGCAAAACTATACAGAAGCTTTGTAAGCTGCTATCTTGGTATGTGCAATCAGCAGCATCCTAGGTACATTTACTTGAAAGATTCTCATTGTTTTAAAAGATGTTGTTCCCAATATAAAAATTTCAGCTCCAACATTTTCCACATACAGGTAGTCAACTTATACCCACAATTAAGCCCAAAATTTCTGTTGTTAAGTAAGACATTTGTTAAGTGCGTTTTGCCCCATTTTACAATCTTTCTTGCCTCAGTTGTTAAGTGAATTGCTGCAGTTGATAAGTTAGTAACCTGATTGCTAAGTGAATCTGGCTTCCCCATTGACTTTTTGTCAGAAGGTTGCAAAAGGTGATAACATGACCATGGGACAAAGCAACAGTCATAAATATGAACCAGTCACCAAGCCTCTGAATTTTGATCCCATGATCTTGGGGTACTGCAATGGTTGTAAATGTGAAAAACGGTCATAAGTCTGTTTTCCATGCCGTTGTAACTTTGAACAGTCACTAAATGAACTGTTGTTAAGTTGAGGAGTACCTGTACATTAAATAGGCTTTAATTTCCAACTTATTTGGTATAGTGTTCAAGATACTCGCCTAGAAACCAGGAGACTGTGACTTCTAGGTCTCCCTTATGCATGAAAGCTGGATGATGTGGGGCCTGGAAGTCTTTCAACTCAGCCCACCTTAGAGGCTGTTGTTGTAGGTAAAATAGGAATATTAAGCATCTTTGACACTTTGAGTTATGCATCAAAAAGTCAAGATAAAAGTATAACAATAACAACATGAAGGAATTAAGAAGGTAATAATTATAAAGGTTTTTCTCGCAAAACTTACATATCTTAATTTGATATATAGTAATTGGCCATGAATAAAGTGGCCATCTCAACTATTACCATCTAATCAAGAACACTTTTTTTCTCAAGGTACTTACAGACACCGTTCTGTTTTCAGTTTAGAGATCTTTGACAATAATCCTAAAAAAAGAAGACAGGATACAATTAATTCTTTGTTTAAAATTTCTATAATCTGATAAATTAAAGAAGATCTTTCATTCAGAGGTACAGTATAGAAACTGGGATTGCCAACAAATTGCCCATGTACTCTCTGGAAGTATAAGAAAATGTTATTTAAATATTTGTTTAGTTATGGTTTGATTTTCATGTCAATTACTCAGTTCTCAGAACAGATAACAGCAAAATAAAATATTTTAAAAAGGTAAATTAGAAAGTAAAACAGACAAAAAGTTACTCTTCCAACTTTAGCTACAGACCAATTATTTTTTCTAAAAGTCTACAATTTTCCAGATTGTTAGAATACCTGTATAAAGTTTGTCACTAAACATTATAGGACAGAATCAAAATCAAGCTAAGGATGATATATCAAACCAATAGCTGAAATTTAGTTTAAGAATAAATTGTCAACCACGGAAGCTCTTACAACATGGAAGGCCTATACTCTGCATTCCTATAGGGTGAAATCAGCCACAGCATAGACTTCAGAGTCCTACAAAATAGATTCAGTTGGCTATTACAGCATACATATACCAAAAGCTCTCTCTTCCATCCAGAAGATAGTTAAAAATCACACCAGTTGTAACTTCTATCTTGATTGTCTTTTCTACTAAACAAAGGTAATGGAAACCTATATGCTTAGTAAACTAATAGCTGATGGTAAAGAATTGAAAACAATATTTGTTTCTTGACTGAAAAGTAGCAAAGAGGGAGACTGCTGGCAAAGTAAAGAGATTAGTCCTATAGAGAAAAGCAACTGCCAACTTAAATAATGACAACAAAGGTCAGAATAGTTAAAAAGTATTGGTCTTTCCAGTGATAATCTATAGCTGTGCAATCTGGAAACAATTTATCTTTGTACTATATTATGGATTTGGAAATGGTTACAAAAATGTCTTGGACTGCCAGACCAAATCTTGGAACAATAATGGCTGACTGTTCTTTAGAAGTGTTGATAAGCAAGCAGAAACTGATCTCCACTTGGCATAGGAAAAAGAAAAAGATAGACTATAAAGAATTATTATGCTTGCTAAAGTTATGGAAAGTAGAAGAGGAGTACAACATAGAAGGTAGATGGACAAGTTTGAATAAATTCTTGGAATGACTTTGAAATAGCTACAGGCTATTATCAGAGTCAGGTCACAATAGCAAGAATTTGTCCATATAATCTCCATGAGTCAAAACTGACTACATGGAACTTCAATGCTAGAGACTATTTGCATATAAAAAAGATAAAGAATAGAAATATATTTATATATTTCAGAAAGGAGAGGAAAATGATGCATGCACATATATTTTTAAGTAAAAATTTCAGCTCTACTAAACAGTCCCATTCAAGAGAAAACTGATTTTCCTCCACTTTAGCCCCTTAAGCCAATTTCTGCAATAATTTGTAATAATCTGTAATTATTATAACCAGTTATTGTATATCTATATAATATAAGAAAGAAAAGTAGTGAAGCAAGATTAATTGTGACCAGAAGATTATTCTGTGTAAAAATGGTATTGGCATGGATTTTTGATAGCCAAAGCTGTTTCAGTTCTCAACAGTAGGAAGAAATCAGAATGAGATAGAATTTTATCCCTGATTATATGAAGTTACTTGATACAGTAGCTTAATAATGTAAGTTATTGTTGTTTGTTGTTGTTAATTGCGAAGTCATGTCCGACCCATCGCGACCCCATGGACAACATTCCTCCAGGTCTTCCTGTTCTCTACCATCTTCTGGAGTCCATTTAAGCTCACGCCTACTGCTTCAGTGACTCCATCCAGCCACATCATTCTCTGTTGTCCCATTCTTCTATTGCCCTCAATCTTTCCCAGCATTAGGCCCTTCTCCAGTGAGTCCTTCCTTCTCATTATGTGGCCAAAGTATTTGAGTTTCAACTTCAGGATCTGGCCTTCTAAAGAGCAGTTGGGGTTGATCTCTTCTAGGACTGACCCGTTTGAACGCCTTGCAGTCCAAGGGACTTGCAGGAGTCTTTTCCAGCATCATAGTTCAAAGGCCTCAATTCTTTGTCGCTCAGCCTTTCTTATGGTCCAACTTTCACATCCAGACATTGCAACTGGAAAAACCTTGGCCTTGACTGTACGCACTTTTGTTGGCAGGGTCATGTCTCTGCTTTTATGTAAGTTATTACTGAATGCAATAAATAAGTAATTACAATTCTGCAAATATTTCAAAATTCAGTTTTCTATTTAGAAAACAATAGTCACGTTAAAGTTGAATGTCATAGTCACAAACTGGAAAGTGACTGAATATTACTTCAGAAGAAAATATAAGTTTAAAAAACATGCATCTCAAATCAGCCAGTCAGCCAGATAACAATTAGATATCAAGATCAAAATTTCTAAAAATCATTCCATTTTATTCCTTTTCAACACCCATCAGAAAGAATGAATCTATAATACAATGAAGCTCCTGTTTTGGAGAGTATTTAGAAATGTGATATTAGCAACCTGAATTGTCACTAAACAAACATTGCTTATATCCTGTAATTAAAGTGATCAAATTTCATCTAAACCAGAAATCTTTCTGGAGGAATTTTCAAACATTAAATAAGAATTTTGGCATTCACTTTATGATCTACAAACTGAAAACCACTTAATGACAAAAAGTGGTTTTCACAGAACTAGAATCATTATCATTTCCTTTCATTAATACAGTTATAATTAATCACTGTTGTGATATTTATATCTAAGAAGAGTAATCCAAGTGGGTTGAAGATGAAATGACTTTATATTGCTCCTTTGCATCTTCTAAGAAAGTGCACCACAACGTAGCTACAGACCATGTTCTATATTTTTACAAGGGCTGAAATTCTCATTAACAACGTGTTTAGAACAAGTTTATAATAATTAGTAAATTTCCATAAGCTCATTATATAAACATTACTAAAATAAATTAAATTATAGCCTAGAGTAGATTGCAAAGTGGATTCAGATTAAATTATTTGGATTCAACCTTATTTATGGAGCAAGGTTTCAGTAACTGACTAGTCCTCATTTACTGACTGCAATTATATTTAACAACTCTATTACTAAGCAACCTGTTGTAAATGAAAAATCACCATACTGCAGTTAGGAAGAGAATCACTTGCAGTTGTTAAACATGAGATCACGTGACTACAACTTGCAAATTCCTGTTGGCTTTCCCATTGATTTTGCTTCCTAGAAGCCAGTCATGAAGGTCACAAATGACAATCATGTGACCATGCAACACTACAACTGCCATATATGCCCAACAGTTACCGAGTGTCCAAATCACAAGTATGTGGCCCCTGGGACACCGCAACAGCTGAAGCTTTGAGGATCAGTTGTGTATCTCCTTTTTCAGTATCATAACTTTGAACAGTCACTGAATGAACAGTTGGTATGCAAGGACGACTTACATTTAGTTTAGTCAGCTCCTCTTATTTCAAAAGATTTATTTTTCCCAGACAAGTATATGATTGTAAATAACGTGCAAAGGTGCTAAGGTTGATGGGGAAAAAGGAGTATTGTAGTTGCTTATCCTTCCCTATCAGTTCTTCTATGTAAGTCTTTCACCTAATTTTTTCCCATTTAGGTACTTAATTCTGATCTCCAAAGATAAAATAAAGAAAGGCCAGACATGCCACAAGTTGCAGAAAGAGCTTTCTTGCCCATCAAACATGCCCTTATAATCCTTTCATTATATTAGCACATATTTGCTTTCTGAATGACTCTGTTTTGATCAAGTTCATTTGTTTCAAATCAAAACTGAGAGAAAAAAGTAATTTTTACAAAGAAATGTGCATTTTAATCCAAAGCAACTAATATTAAGCATAGTATAATGTCTACTTGATCACATTTATCTCAGCCATGTTTATTAAAAACCAGATAATTAAAAAAGACACAAAATATGGCTCCTTACGACAAGCTTAACCAAAAAACAAAACTCACTGATTACAGACTTCTATTTTATAAAGCATATTTTGCTGACATCTAAAATTAAAAATCATGAGTCAGTTTTAATTCTTATTTATAGACTTCAGAAACATAGTCCTGACAAGTCTGTGTTTGCCTTATTTATCATCATATGGTTCTATTGTAAAATCACCATCTTTTGAAAAAACAATCCTTTGGGCATGTTTTTTGATAAAATCATACAGATTCTAAATTTGCCATGCATTATACAGAACACACTAACAAAGTTTCAAAACATAAAAAAATCCACTTTATCTGTTTCCACTGACACACTTACAATCTTCATTAAAATTCCAAAGTGAGACCTTTTTCTTAGTATACGTAATATGTTTTTGATTAAGATAGGTTTTAAACCTGCTATTAAAAGTTTTGAAAAATAAGACAATAGTTTTGTTTCACACCAGGCATTTTGTAATCATTGCTCCAAATGTCAACCAGATATTTCAGCAGACATCTTTAACTAAGTAAATTTTAATTGTTATGTCATATATCTTGCTTTAATTATTTCGTGAGACAGACTTTTAGATATTATTCTGTCTCCTTGATCCTAATCTTCTTAGCTAATGATATCAGTTTCACTAATGGATTGCTGTAACAAGTTCTTAATATCTCCTGGTACTTTTCTATGGTAATAAGCTAGATAAAATAGCATAACAGTTTTCTTTTTGATTCTTGGAATCTGATAGCATCTTTTGTTGATCTATTTAGATGGAACTTGGAGACTTCTCCAAGCATACAGGAATATCCTAGTTAAAAATTCTATCATCATTACACATCTTTGGTTGCGTAAGACTGACTACTGAACATAATGGGCTTTGCTTCTGATTTAAAAGATATTACAGGATTATACTGTGGATCTTGGATCCATCAGATTCTTCACCACTGGAATCTTCATATCCATCATTATACTTTCTAAATATGATAAAAAACAAAAAGGTATATAAAACTCAACTGTATTTACCTTGTGTACTGCTTGCTTAATCTATGTACTATATAATTGCATTCAAATGATTAAAGTGGGAACCACTTCATCGCTTTACAAAGTATTCAATCTGCTTTACAGCTTATGGTAAACTCAAACAAGATAAATTGATATAAGGCTGAATATGCTAAGAACTGTTAGAATCAGTTTTGTTATGTGACTAAGCCATGAAAAAAAATCAATAACCAATAAAATTCAAACACGTACCAACAAACATTCAAACAAGACCAATACACTTTCACTTGAAATAATACATACCTCTTGATCTTGATTGCCACTGTGATATGATCTCACCAAATTTTATATACACGGCGAAAAAGTCAATGAAAAACTCAGTATATTAAAATGTGAATCCCAACCACATGAACTCAGTAAGGATTTTTAAAACTAGCAAACAATTTTATCTTAGGAATTACATTATTTTACAGCTAATTTGCTAACTTAGAAATAACTCATGGCTGCCAATATTAATTTGCCAAATACAAAATACACAAAGCAACCATACCTTTGACTTCTTTATCATGACATTCTTTAAGTTTGGACCATAGTTCCTTGAAATAGTCAACTGCATGTTCTGTAGCATTGGGACTTCCACAATTCCCTCCAGAAGCACTCATTTTATCTGTTTATAGTTTTTCAATTTTTTTTCTGAGTTCTTGATGTTTGGCTGTTCTTCAGGTTCACATTAGTTAGGGAGGGTTTTTTTCCAGACAACTGGATTCCTACAATGACAGATACAATGCTTACAATATAGTTATTAAATGATAGTTATTGTAATTAATCTATATTGTCTTTATATCTTGATTAATCATTGCATTTTTAAAAAAAAAAATAACACAGAAGCCATTTGAAAGCTGACTTTTCATTGTCCTCAAAAGACAAGTTTTTCCTGAAGAAAAAAACAAGTCATAATTGGCTGTTGCAAGAAGAAACATACAAGAATTAAGGTTTTATAAATTATTATGCTGTAATAAAATTAATTATATTTTTCTGCTAGCTATTGATTACATCTTGCCAAGTGCATTAAAGATAGCCCTTGTTTAGTGATTATCTTGTTTAGAGACAGATCACAATTATCATGGTGATGGGTCTTCTCATTTACAACCTTTGTAGGTCTGTAAAGCAAAGGAAAGCTGAAGATCATAAGCATAGTCATGGTTTCACATAGTGACTGATTTGTTTAACAAGCAAGTTGCCAGTTCCAATTGTGATTGATAAATAATGAATGAAATGCAGAAAGTATCATAGTAACTTATGTCCAGGAGGCATGGCACAAATTAGAAATTTCAAAGCAGCTGAAATACATAGTGCTTATATAATTGTGTGTATGGTCGATTCTCATTACTCCCTAGATCTGAATGCCTTAGGATTGGATTGGGCAACTTGCAACCTGTTGATCATACATAATCCTTGGCTCCAAAACTGCAGTCTGTAGAGATTACCTTGCCTGCTCTTACCAGCAAGTAGCTGGCTGGAAGATCAGACTGCTGCCTATTACAAAAAGAAAGAAATATAAGCAAGCTAACGAGCACATGGGAAAGTCTTCACTTTGACCTTTGTGGCAGTCGTGGTTCTAAAAATTGTGCCCATCTTGATAATGCGTTTCCTGAGCTAAGCACACAACAGTTTACTCTTGATTCGTTTTAGCCGAATCTCCAAGGACTGCTCAATGACTCTTCCAACAGATCTTCCTTTTGCTATTTACCATCTATCTCCCCAAGATGTGAGGCCTTCCATAAATATCCGACGGAGGTAATTTCGCCTCCAGGGGGAACTCTAAGCATAGCGGGATCGCTTCAATTTATGCCCGCCACGCAGCAGTTAAAGAGTTCGCCAGACGACCCGAGACAGCAAACACGCCTCCTGAGAGGGCAGACTATTTCGCCAGAGTTTGAAAAGGGCGGCTTTTTCAAAAAGGCCCAAGGGAAACCTTCGATGTTAGCCTGGGCGCAACAATGCGCGCGATCCCTGCCTCCCACGGAAAGGAAAACCTACGTTTGGGCTGCCCGAAGAGGAGATGTGGAAGCCCTTTGATTTTAACAAGGGAAGTGCGTTGGGCGCTGGTGGGTACTGAACGGCGCTGGGGGGACGTTTTGCTTCAGACGGGGAAAATCCTGGGCGGAGTGCTCCCTGCGACCGCGAACAATGGCGAGGGGAGCCGGGAAGGGGATCCGCTCCCGAAGAAGAGAAGGCAGCGGCCGCTCGCAGCTGCACGAAAAGGCGGGCTCTGACGCGTGGTTACCTAGCGGCGTTGATTCCTTTCATCGAAGGGCAGGGCTGGGCAGGGAAGAGGAGCGAAGAAAGATGCTTCTCTTTTTTTTCAGCAGCATTTGTTCGTTCTTGACCCACTGCCTGCGGCGGGAGAGCCAACAACTAGGTCGCGGGGCTTCCGGAAGAACCGGGCTGCCCCTGCTGGCCGGAGGCTGTTTTGGCGGCTGAATAAGGAGACAATTTCCCCCCTTTTCTTGCCAGGAAGAAGTCCAGCTTGGTGGGTCCGGGCTTCAGTTGGACCCACCAACCGTGGGAGGAAGAGGCGAAGAAGGAGAGCGAGAATGAGTCACAGGGCACGTGCAGAGTTCTCTGTCCACCCCTCCCCAAGAATGCCTTGCGGAGAGAAACTTTTGAGCCGGTTCAGCTGGAAGAGCAGATGGAGTATTGAGCTCCGAACGCCCACTAGAGGCCTTTTGTATGCGTTTTAATATAGCATCTGATCTTCAAATTCTGCCTTGCTTTTAGAATCAAATAATTGTTTCTGTTTCTGTTTTACTTAAAAAAAAAAAAATAGAAAAGGGCCCGAAATGACTTTCTAACTCAAAGAAGTAATGGAAGATTGGAAGAAGTGGAGAGAACTGGCCCATAGAATTGCTAAGGGTCGGACATCATCAAACCAATTTAGCAAACCAGTTGTATCAATCGTCCTCTAAATAAATCTCTAGAATGGCTGCTTTGTGCGGAAATATAGAAGAGAAGGCAACAGTATCAAGGAAAGTGAAGAGATAAAATAGTGAAAAAATATAGAAATGTAGATTTCTCTGGCAAAGCACACTGGCTATAAAACATGCTAAGGAATACTGTACAATATTGGGCTTAGCTGCCTTCCAAATACACTTTTTGATGTGATGATTGTTTAATCCTGCCCTCCAGCACAGCTGTTCCAAGTAACAAATAAATTCAAAGGTTTAGGGTGCATTAATACCCTTGAAATTAAACAGAAAGATCAAATTGTCTGTTCTTAGAAACTAAAGTGCTTTCTTATTTGCTTAGAAATGAGTTTTCTTTGCTATAGGCTATAAGAGAAAAAAGCTGTTTATAGGCCTGAGTAATAATGCACAGTGTTCTATGCATATAAGCTGGATAGAGAAAATAAGATGACTTGTATAGAATAGGGGAGCACGTTGGTAATAGAGAAACAATGTGGTCTGGGACAAATCAAACATAATGTGCTAAGTGCTGAACATAATCCTATTTGGAAAGTCTCAAGTAGAGGAGACCTCAAGGCATCTCCAAAGTCCAATTGGGAATAGGATAGAGAACAGATTCATTGTACTCCTACAAGAGTTCTTCCATCCATCAACTTATATATCTAGAGCAAATTTTGAAGATTTGCAAGAGTTTAGCTACTACCTTCATTACTATGGAGGGTACAGTGCAAAAAAGGAAACATGGAATATTTATTCTTGCCTATCTTGGAGCTGGGAGCCAGGGGAGAGGTATTTTAATTATAATAGTTGTTTAACATGCTCAGATATTTTTATATGTAATCTATTAGTTATTCCATTTATGTAAATTGGATTGGACCAAAGATTATCTAGTTTAAATTTTATTTACTAGAGTGGTCAGATTCTCTTGTTTTTGGTGAGACATGAACAAAACAGGCCTCTTCTGCAATGTTCCACAGTTTCTGGTCAATAAAATTACAGGTAGTCATAAACTTAGTACAATTTTAGACAACAATTTCTGTTGCTAAGCAAAGTGGTTAAACGAGCTGTGCCTAACCACCTTTTTGCTGTGGTTATTAAGCAGTTCTCTGCAGATGTTCAGTGAAATAGAATTCTTTATTGGCCAAGTGTGGTTGGACATAACAAGAAATTTGTCACCGATGCATAAGCTCTCAATGTACATACAAGTAATAGTGATAATCATAATGATAAACAACATGAAATACATTCATCATAAATTGTAAAATGCAACACTTCATCATAAATCATAAGATGCAACACTTAGTGATAGTCATAGAATACTAGCTAAGCAAACAACATAAATCATACTCGGATACTAAAAAAACAATATAAATTGTAAGATACAAGCAACAAAGTTAAAGTCATAAGAAGATGATAGATAGAAAAGATGAGTATCATAGTAGTTCAGTTTTACTAAGTAGTTTGACTGTTGTAGGAATTAGTTATTAAGCAGAGTGATGGCAATCATTAGGTAAATGACAATCACATAATCCCAGGATGTTGCATGCTGCCAAGCACCCAAAATCTGATCACATGACCCTGGGGATGCTTCAACAGTTGTAAGTGCAAGATTGTAAATAACTTTTTTCAGTGCTGTTACTTTGACAGGGCACTTAAATGAATAGTTGTAAGTTGAGGACTTCTGTATAACTAACTACATATCATGGATAATGGCTATTGGTAGCTGTATGCTCCCATGAATTCCCTTTATAGCCATCTTAAGATGGTAACCATAATCTAGGTGGTAGTAAGTTACATTGCACAATATATGCCATATAAAAATATACTTTCATTTTCTGATCCCGAATTACATTACAGTATTTGGCTTTATTGACTGTCCCCAAATCCAGCATTCTGAAAGCTAAAAAGTTGATAAGATAGTCACCTTATCAACTTGCTCACAATATAAAACAATATAATTTCTCTGCTCTACAATGCACAACATGTAAAACATACTGTCAGTAAAATTTGGCTTGCCACACTACTCCTCCTCAAGTCGCTTGCTTCTATCCCTCTAACTATGTTTAAAAAAGGAAAACTATTTTTATCAATATATTTCTTTAATGAAATTGAAAAGAATTGTAAATGTAAACAAATTTGTAAATTTACTTTCATTGCAGGATTATTTAAAAATAAGTGTAAAAGATTGCAATTATCATGTTTAGATTTGATTTTCCATAGAATAAACGCAATAGTTACACTAAAGATTGGCTGTAGAAAAGTAAATAATCCTTTCCCAAATTTAGATTTTTAGAAATGTGTTAATTTATATTATTTCTGCAAATGCGGGGATATAATGTATATTCCCCCCATAGAGTTACATCTGCTTTTAATCAGAAATGAATATTCAAATAAAATGAGTTATTTGAATATACTTAAATGACCATCTGCTTATCTGCAGTTTTCATTGTAGAAACAAAATAAGAATGTATGAAACAAATACTGTGAACTGTTTGATGTTCACAGTTAATGGCTGCTTGGCATTGAGTTCTCATGAAAACAATACTTCTCAATAGATTCAAAGTCGATACTGAAATATACTACAGCATGTGTCATTTGTCTAGGAGGAATAAAATCCATACCTAGACAATAAAACTGCAAAAAGAATTAGTACTGTTGTGCTTGTGAAATATTGACAGGAACTCAAAGACATTTTAAAGTACTTAATACATTGATGATAGCAATAGACTTATCTGGTTTAGATGTTGCCTTCTTGTTTACATTTATTTTTATTACAATACCTTTTTGTTACTTACCAAGGAGACCTATTTAGTAGGGATTTAAAAAAATCTAACACTATTATTCCTGAAGTATCCCTGTTATTTCTTTATTGCCATAACAGAATAAAAGTAGCTCTCTAACTACTTCCTAATGAAAATCAGTCAGTAAGTTTATAAATACACTGGGAGTAAAATCTACTCTATTTTTTATAAATGTGTCATCATATGACACTTAATGATACTTGAAATCATAATAAAATATTTTAGGATCTGAAGTAATTTTAGAATATTGAATACTAAATAATTTTCATATAATTATTTTGCTAAATTATTAAATATTAAATGTATTTACTAAATACCAGAATAAGCTGTATTAATAGGCTGTATGAATAATTTTCCACAAGAGAAAGTTACACAAATTGTTTCCAAGTGAAAGTTTTTAGTTAATAGTGCATCAAGTATATACAAATATTTCATTTAAGTTGCAGGATTGTTCACCCAGCTCTGTTTTTTGTAAACACACGGGTCTCTTGGGAAGGAATCATTTATATGTTTTAAAACAGATCTCCCCCAGGGAAATAAGCTTAAGAGATGACATACAAAACATACATTATACTGCTGTCAGAGTATATATAGAATGAGTTTTTAACTTTTAACTTCTATTCTTATGTTTTGCTTCCTGCAAATGTACATTCTAAATTGTCAGTCTTATACAAGACTCCAGTTGCCTTGTGTAATGGTTTCTCTGTGCCTCTGTTTTCATAATAGCTGAACCCAAAATGTTTGGGCTGAAACCTTCGTTTTCCAAATGATCAGCTACAACAGGTATTTGTATGAAATGCTCAACATGTATGAGAACTTTTTCTAGAGCCTATAGTTGTGCACTTTACAGTTCTTAACAGGTTTGCTGAACAGTATTAGCAGAAAATATTTTTATACCTGTTAAGTATTATGTAATTGCTATTTGAAAGGTTATGCTTTAGGAATGCTCCTTGAGGCCTCTTCTGTTTTAGAGTTTTTAAAAATTGATGTAATCAAGTAAGCATTAGTCATTTAGACTTGTGATAAAGCTTTTTGTGTGAAATTTCACTGTATATAGGTATTTAAGGAAAATACTGCATTCCTTGAATTTTTTCAGACAATTATTTTGTGTTAGTCTTCCTGCTAGCTACTGTTTGTTTTGTGTCATAAAGATATAGGGCATTCCAGAAATCTTAGTGTTTTTTTTGTCCAATTTGTTTAACTAGTAAGGAATTCACAGTTAAGTGATAGAGTCCATGCTTCCCTCATGCAGAAGGCCTCAATTAAACTTTGACATTTCCAGTTAAAAAGAAAAGAGCTGGTGATATGAGAAGTTCCTCCAGGATGTTACATTGACACTGCCAATTAGAGTAGCAGTACTAGATTAGACAGATTAGAGGTGCTTTAGTATAAAAACAGTTTCTTATAACCCAGTTCAGATTATGTGATGAAGTAGGCTCAGATATATTATGTCTATAAAGTACTTGAATTTAATCATGTAAACGTTGAATTGCTAGTGAATGTAATTTTTGAACTGCCAATAATTTAAAACATTTCTAACTTTCCTAGCATTACTAGAAATACTTGTTCTGAAATAACAAGAAAGGGACTAGATATTTTCTTTCAAGAAATAACTTGTCATTACTGTATTCTCATTGAAGAACACAAATAGACTTCTAAGAAATGCCAGGAATTTCAAATAATTTGAAAATGATTCTAGTGAAAAATGTTCTCATATCCCATGGATTACTGTAGAAAATCTTTAGGGGATCAGAAC